GCAGCACCTACACACACACAGACAAAGATCCCCCAGGTAGCCTCTAGCAGGCTGTAGGGGCAAGTGCTGCGAGTAGCAGCACCTACACACACACAGACAGATCCCCCAGGTAGCCTCTAGCAGGCTGTACGGGCAAGTGCTGCGAGTAGCAGCACCTACACACACAGACAAAGATCCCCCAGGTAGCCTCTAGCAGGCTGTAGGGGCAAGTGCTGTTAGTAGCAAGTAGCACCACCTACACACACAGAGACAAAGATCCCCCAGGTAGCCTCTAGCAGGCTGTAGGGGCAAGTGCTGCGAGTAGCAGAACATACACACACAGACAAAGATCCCCCAGGTAGCCTCTAGCAGGTTGTAGGGGCAAGTGCTGCGAGTAGCAGAACCTACACACACAGAGACAAAGATCCCCCAGGTAGCCTCTAGCAGGCTGTTGGGGCAAGTGCTGCTAGTAGCGAGTAGCAGCACCTACACATAAGACAAAGATCCCCCAGGTAGCCTCCGACGTGGATCTCCATCGCCAGCAACACGAAGAACCTCGAGCCCCTCACGGGGCCGCCGTTATATCAGCCTGGGCTGGGGATGGCTCCGCCCCTCGCCCCGCCCACCTTTCGGATCTCTCCGGATCTTTCTCGAAGGCTCCCCGAGGGCTCTTGTAGACCACGTGACCGCCCAGCGGCCCCCCGTCCACCGGTGGCCCCCCTCCAATATCATCCGGTGACGTGTCGGCAGGTCAACCGGCGCATCGTGCCCCAACGTAACCCTGGCTGGCTGACGCTCCCTCTCGCTCCCTCGCCGGGAGCCCGCACTGCACGCCGTACGTGGTGCCTCCGCGCTGACCAGCGCTCACCCAGGCCCCGCTAGGGCTGGCGGTACTACGCCCAGTGAGCGGGCTGCACGTAATGCCAACACATCATCCGCCGTGGCTTCGTAAGCCCGGCACCACACAGTGACAATCACAGTCACTACACAAGCAAGAACATCTGCTGGACTACATTGTGACGGACCAGTGGATACGGGCCCATGTCCTTGACACCAGGAGCTGATTTGCCCACTGACCATTGACTTGTCATCTGCAAGATGCGCCTGCCATTCTTCCACTCCGGTGGGGGGTGTACACCCAGGACCCCATTCAAACCCATCGTGGCCTGGTCTCAGCTAGCTGATTAAAGTTTCAAGCAAGAATTTCATCATCGCTTGCGGCTAGGGTTGGCATCGTCCCCCACTCCTCATGTCGAGGGGAAATGGGCGAGGTTTAGGACTGTGGCTCATGCAGCTGCAATGGCTACTTTGGGTACACGGTCCATACCTCCTCAGAGACCCTGGCTGACAAAAGAGGTGTTCAGGCTAGCTGAAAAAAAGCGACAGGCCCTCTCTCATCGTCTACAGCAGGGGTCCTCAAACTACGGCCCGCGGGCCACATGCGGCCCGCCGAGGACATTTATCCGGCCCGCCGGGTGTTTTTGCCGCCGCTGCCTGTCTGTTACTTTTTTTCTGCATGAGAAGGACGGTCATTGGTGGAAGAGGGAGAGGGGGCGGAGTTTCCCCCAATCAGACTGCATTGATGGGCAGTGCAGTCTGTATGTCTCTGTGTGGGCAAAGTTATTGCTGGTATATTGTTTTTGTAGCGCTGTATATATATTGGTATTTTACTAATAGCAATTTTGACTCCCTAGGAAACAATGATGTCAAGAAAGAGAAAAATTGACTCGGAGTGTAGGATATTCAAAGAACAGTGGACTTATGATTACTTTTTCATGCAGTACAAGGAAAGAGCTGTGTGTCTGATATGCCAGAATATAGTGTCTGTGTTCAAAGAATACAATTTACGTCAACACTATAAAACTCAACATAAAGATAAATATGCTTGTTTGGTCGGAGAAGTGAAAAAGATAAAATATTAAAACTGAAAAATACATTAACAACTCAACGAAATAGTTTTGTGAAGCAGAAGCAGCTAAATATTTCATCACTGCGAGCAAGTTTTCAAGTTGCCAAGCTAATAGCGTGCACTGGCAGACCATTCGTGGAGGGAGAATTTGTTAAAGAATGCCTTCTTTCTGTTGCCAAAGAGATGTGTCCAGAGAAGGCCGATTTATTTAGTACAGTGAGTCTTTTAGGACCTACAATTACACGGAGGATTGAAGAAATGGGAGACAATTTGCATCAGCATTTGCAAAACTCCACAAAAAAACTTTCCTATTTTTCCTTGGCACTCGACGAAAGCAATGATGTTCGTGATTCTGCACAACTTCAAATTTTTATTCGTGCGACGAATGACTATTTCGAAGTCACAGAAGAGCTTGCTGCACAGCAAAGCATCAAAGGAACAACTACAGGAGAGGATATCTTTCGATTTAAAGCTTTCGTGACTGCAGGGATTCATCTTCTTGGTTCTTTCGGTAAAGTCACATAGAAGGGAAGTAATAAAATAATTCTCACGACGTTTCGGCCACAACGCAAGCAGCCGTCCTCAGGTGAAAACCAGGTCTGTTGGGGAGACAGCGTCTGAATGAAACAGCACACGAGCTTGGAGCATATATAAGCTGGGTTGGAAGCGGGGGAAAGAGCGCCTTGACAAAATAATTTCAATATCAAGAGGAATTTAGCATATTTATGGGAAATGCAGGAATGTGATTAGTACTACATATGCCCGTGCTGCATATGTAGTACTAATAACATTCCTGCATGTCCCATAAATATGCTAAATTCCTCTTGATATGCAAATTATTTGTCAAGGCGCTCTTTCCCCCGTTTCCAACCCAGCTTATATATGCTCCAAGCTCGTGTGCTGTTTCATTCAGACGCTGTCTCCCCGACAGACCTGGCTTTCACCTGAGGACGGCTGCTTGCGTTGTGGCCTAAACGTCGTGAGAATTATTTTATTATGTTTTATTTTTATTATTTTATTACTTCCCTTCTACGTGACTTTACCGAAAGAACCAAGAAGAGAGGATATCTATGAAAAGGTTTGCCAAACTGTGAATGGTTTGGAGCTGAACTGGGCTAAACTAGCCAGTGTGACAACTGATGGTGCTCCTAGCATGGTGGGGTCTAAGAAAGGAGTAATTGCTCGCATTAACCAAGAGATGGACAAACATAACCATTCTCATCCAATAGCCATACACTGCCTCATCCACCAACAAGCGCTGTGTAGTAAATCACTGAAGTGGGACTCGGTTATGAAATTTGTGGTATCTTGTGTTAACTTCATTAGAGCTCACGCACTAAACCACAGACAATTTCAGGCATTTCTGTCTGAGCTAAATGTTGACTATGAAGATGTTCTGTATCACACAGAAGTCCGTTGGCTGAGTCGAGGGAGAGTTTTGAAACGTTTCTATGACTTACTTCCACAGATTACAGCTTTTCTGCTTCAAAAAAACAAAGAAGTACCAGAGCTCAATGATGCAGAATGGAAATGGCACCTTGCCTTTCTGACAGATGTAACAGAGCTACTCAACAGTTTCAATGTGCAACTTCAAGGAAAGGGGAAGCTCATCTGTGATATGCAATCACATGTCAAAGCATTTGAAGTAATATTAGGCCTCCTTATCAAACAAGTGAAGGAGGAAAACTTCTGCCATCTCCCCACAACTCAAAATCTGTTAGCGGAAAAACCATTGGTTGCATTCCCAAACAAAACGTGTGGATTCACTGGAAAAATTGCAAAAGGGGTTCCAATTTGGATTTAAAGAGCTTCAGCTCCATGAACAGGACATACAGCTTTTCCGTAACCCATTTTCTATTGACATTGAAAATGTGGATACAATTTACCAAATGGAACTGGCTGAACTGCAGAATTGTGACTCTCTGAAAGACGCATTCAAGTCAAGCAGCCTTAATAATTTCTATGCATCTCTCCCCTCTGAGACATATCCTCATCTCAGGAACCATGCACTCAAAATGGCAACCATCTTTGGCAGCACTTATGTCTGTGAACAGACTTTTTCCAGAATGAAACATTTGAAATCTCCAACCAGATCTAGACTAATGGATGCACACTTGCATCACTTGTTACGACTAGCAGTGACAAATATGGAACCGGACATTGACCATCTCATTAGCCAAACGCAGGCCCATAGTTCCCATTGAAATACTGGCAAGTTTGTTGATTTAACTTTACTTGTTCTTCATTTTAAATATTGTATTTATTCCCGTTTTGTTTCTTCACTTCAAAATAAGATATATGCAGTGTGCATAGGAATTTGTTCATAGTTTTTTTTTAACTATAGTCCGGCCCTCCAAGCGTCTGAGGGACAGTGAACTGGCCCCCTGTTTAAAAAGTTTGAGGACCCCTGGTCTACAGCATCCCACGTCAGAGAATGAGGAAGCTTACCGCAGCTTTCGCTCAGAGGTTCGGAGAGCCGTGAGGTGCTGCAAGGATGGGTGGTGGTCGTGGGTTGCTGAGGAGATGGAGTCTGCCTCAATGGCCTGCGATCACAAATCGCTGTTTATTTCCATAAAAAAGTAACCTACAGCGCCATACCTATTACCATCATTAGGGAAAAGATTGGTGATCCAATCTCCGACCCCCAGGAACAGGTTTGCAGATTTGCTGAGCATTTCTGTGAGGTCCTGGGGGAGGGGAAATACCCCAGCCTGGAAAACATCGTGGGACAAAGTGGGGATGACCCTGCTGAGGCTGTGGTGCCTCAAATATTGGAAGAGGAAGTCACCACCTGTGAGTGGCTGGCTGAGGTGCCATCAGTTGAGGAAGTACTGAAAGCGTTCCAGAGCCTGAGACCAGGAAATGCACCAGGCAAAGATGCTCTCCCAAGTGTTGTGTGGTTATTCCTGACACCGCTGGAGACTTGTAGATCCACACGGAGACGGAGCTTCATGTAAGGGCTTGCGCCAGTTGTTTTATTAAACACTCTTCACACCACTCTGCTTACACTCTGAGTACTGCTGCACAATCACTGCCTACGCTACACACCTGACGCCTTCGCCCGTCATGGTGCAGGCGTCGGACCTCTGGCTGCACGTGGAACTGTCTCCCATTACTCCACGCCCCGCCACGGCTCCCCCTCGTCTGCCCCGGGCGGGGGCACGCCGCCATCACCGCCCGGCGACGAGGTTGGGCTTCTAACCCTCGAGCCTTCCTCCTTCGGCGGCGGCGGCTGGGCTGTTCCCGCTGCAGGCACACGTTCCCGTGTCCTATCACACTCCACACCCCAGGGGAAGGGTACTGGGGATTCCTAGCACTCTCACAGTAGTGTATAGTCTAGTGTATATTGTATAGTAGCGTAGTGTATAGTAGCGTAGTGTATAGTAGCGTAGTATATAGTGTAGTGTATAGTGTAGTGTATAGTGTAGTGTATAGTATTGGGCACGCCCAACGACCCCACCACCACCACCTCCCTCCTTCACCACCAGCACCACGGGGAGTGTCGGCGAATCTCCAGGCGGGCTACATCAGTCCGGCCGTCATGTCCACGTAGTCCTAGAGAGATGGGAGAGAGATGGTGAGAGATGGGGGAGAGGTGGGGAGAGGTGGGGAGAGGTGGGGAGAGATGGGGAGAGGCGGGGAGAGGTGGGGAGAGGTGGGGGAGAGGTGGGGGAGAGGTGGGGAGAGGTGGGGAGAGGTGGGGAGAGGTGGGGGAGAGGTGGGGGAGAGGTGGGGGAGAGGTGGGGGAGAGGTGGGGGAGAGGTGGGGGAGAGGTGGGGGAGAGGTGGGGGAGAGGTGGGGGAGAGGTGGGGAGAGGTGGGGAGAGGTGGGGAGAGGTGGGGAGAGGTGGGGAGAGGTGGGGAGAGGTGGGGAGAGGTGGGGGAGAGGTGGGGGAGAGGTGGGGGAGAGGTGGGGGAGAGGTGGGGGAGAGGTGGGGGAGAGGTGGGGGAGAGGTGGGGGAGAGGTGGGGGAGAGGTGGGGGAGAGGTGGGGGAGAGGTGGGGAGAGGTGACAAAGACCAAGATCCCCGTGTAGCCTGAACAGGCTGTAGGGGCAAGTGCTGTTAGCGAGCAGCAGCACCTATGAAGGCTACCGGCACTGTGGCACACGAGGGGGTGGGTGGCCAGCACCACGCCCGGCCGCCTTTGTCTCCCCGGCGGCGATGTTTACTACACATACCACGCCAGGTACTCGATTGAGGCTGAGTCGACCTAGTGGAGACCCGGGACCAGAACAGATCATCGCTATCACTGGTGTGAAGAAGATCAACGTTTAGTCCTTTTAAAATAAACATCTCATCATGGCCAAAGCCACCGCCGCCACCACCACCACCGCCACCACCGCCACCACCACCGCCGCCACCACTGCCGCCACCACCACCGCCACCACCACCGCCACCACCGCCACCACCGCCACCACCACCACCACTTCTCTTCCCTCTACGGCATCCTACGAGCGTGGTGGCAAGCGCGAGGTCGCAGGTTCGACCCCTACGGCCTGACGACCCCCACGTCTCCATCTCTCTCTCTGCCCCGTGGCCCGTGTCGTCCCCCCTCCCGGACGGGGCAGCGGTCACCTCGTCACGGCGGCCCCCGTTGGCCACGAGGATCCGCCCCAAGTCGTCCGCCAGCCGCGCGAACGTCGGTCTGTCGCTGGGGACGGTCGCCCAGCACTCGCTCATCGTCGCGTGTCTGCGCACGGCGACACGCGAGTCAAGTTCAACACGCACCGTGCGTGTACACCGTGCGCACGGCGTACACGCAATGTGCACAGACATGCAGCTACTACATTTACAATCATAGAGTAGTGTATAGTGTAGTGTATAGTGTAGTGTATAGTGTAGTGGATAGAGTAAACCCACTACTGTATTTACAATTATAGAGTAGTGTATAGTGTAGTGTATAGAGTAGTGTATAGTGTAGTGTATAATGTAGTGGATAGAGTAAACCCGCTACTGTATTTACAAGTATAGTGTAGTGTATAGTGTAGTGTACAGAGTAAACCCACTACTGTATTTACAATTATAGTGTAGTGTATAGTGTAGTGTACAGAGTAAACCCACTACTGTATTTACAAGTATAGTGTAGTGTATAGTGTAGTGTATAGTGTAGTATATAGTGTAGTGTATAGTGTAGTGTATAGTGTAGTGTATAATGTAGTGTATAGAGTAAACCCACTACTGTATTTACAATTATAGTGTAGTGTATAGTGTAGTGTATAGTGTAGTGTATAGAGTAATAATAACAACATCAACGAACGACGCTCCTGTAGGTAACATGACGTCATCGTCGTAGTCGTCGTTGCGATCTCCGATTCCTACTCACAGCTCGTCGGAGCAGAGGGCAGGCCGCTCCATGCGGTAGCCGTCACCGAGCAGCTTGAAAAGCTTTTCCACGGGGACGCCCGGGTACGGAGAGCCCCCCAGGGTGAAGATCTCCCACAGCAGCACCCCGTAGGACCACCTGCACACACATACGCACAAACACGCGCACACATGCAAATGCATGCACAACCACACACACACACGCATACACATGCATGCTCACGCACGTACACAACAACAACAACCGCCATTCGCCACTAAATGGTAGTGACATCACCACGGCGCTTGTGCCAGGCCATGTGCACCTTGAGGCCACGTGAATTGTCGAACGCCCGCTGGCAGGAGGTCACGGGGCAGACCCAGCAGGTGCCACGGGTCGACTGACTGAGATGACCGAGATGACTGGCTGATGCACCACCTGTGCCCCCGACTGCCAACTTGCTGTGCTTTAGACACCCGGCGCTCCGCTCGTTGTTATGAGCGTCGCTCCTCCGCTCTCCGTTGTTGTTGGAGGGCGACTGCCTCCAACTGCCCAGTAGCGTCCTTCACGAGCCTCCTCCACTGAGGCCTATCTTGACACCGCTGGTACCAGTCATCAGCAAGTCCACTCAGCTGCACGTCCTCCTGTACCACATCACTCCATCTCTTCTCTAGCCCTTGCCGCGTCCGTTTAGCCCCCTCAATTCGGCCGAACAAAAGCTGTTTAGGCAAGCGTAGAGAAGGGAGGGAATGACTGTGGCCGAGAAGGCCTGAAGCTTCGTGCGGAGCCGGTCATAAGCACACTGCCCAGGTATGGGAAACTCTCCACTCTCTGCACAACTGCCCTGTCACCAATTGGGAGTTGTGGGGGTGGAGTGTCCAATGGTACAAAATACCCAGGCAGGTGCTGATGGTAAGGCTCCACCTCTTAGTGGCACACTCCAGTTTCAGCAGAAGCATCTCTAACTTCTCCTTTGAATGAGCAGCAATTACCAAATCATCGGCATACGTAACATGGTTGAGCAATAGGGAGCCATCCCTTGACCAAACCCGGGCATCGAATAGCCTCCCATTGCATCTGTACCACATGGAAATTCAGCTACTGAAGGTTTCACGAACTACGTGGTTGAAATAGATGTTACATAATGTGGGAGCGAGAGGACATCCCTGTCGCACCCTAAAGTAAACAGCGAATGTCTCCGACTCCCGGCCACGTAGTTTTACCCGGGCCCGCTCACCATCATGAAGGTCCTTAATGATCGCGAGCAGAGGGTCAGGTACTCCGAAAGCACGAAGAACAACCCAGAGCCCATGCCTACTGATAGTATCATAGACCTTGACCGGGTCAATAAAGCAGAGATGTAGGTCTTGTTGGAATTCCATCCACCTCTGCTGTAGCAGACAGACAGAAAATATGGCATCTGTGCAGGACCGGCCTTTCCTGAAACCACATTGGGGCTCCTCAAGCCTCTCCTCAGCGTGCCTAGCAAGGCGATGTTGAATAATCCTTGCCAGGACCTTTCCCGGCACACTGAGGAGTGAGATGCCCCTGTAGTTGTTACAGTCTGTGCGGTCCCCCTTCTTAAAGAGTGGGACCACCAGGGCATCCTTCCAATCCTGTGGAACCCATCCATTGGTCCAGACTGTCGTTATGATGTCATGTAGGGCAGTCTGTGCACAAACGCCACTCTCCCTCAGCATGTCGCTTGGGAGATGATTTTTGCCCGGTGCCTTTCCTGGTCCCTGACTCTGGATCGCCTTCAGTACTTCCTTAACAGATGGCACCTCAGCCAGCAACTCACAGGGGGTGACTTCTTCCTCCAATATTTGAGGCACCGCAGCCTCAGCAGGGTTATCCCAAATTTGCCCCATGATGTTTTCCAGGCTGAGGAATTTCCTCTTCCCCAGGACCTCAAAGATTCTCAGCAAATCTGCAAACCTGTTCCTGGGGACAAATAGTTTGCTGCTTTAGCCCACCGGTGTGTTGAAGCGTGAAACCACAACATTTACAATTTGAGAACGACGTTTCGCTGGTAATTGCATCCAGCATCATCGGGCAATTCGCCAGAATGGTGAGGCTCTGCTGTGTCTCCCGTTCATATATATTTACTGATTGGCCGTGTCGGGTGGTGGAGGGTTACGACACATTTATAAATAACGCGATCCAAACCCAAAAACGTTGATTATGAATAATATTGGTCGCGAAAGCCTACGTGTTAAACTGTTCCTGGGGGTCGGAGATTCCCCTAATGATGGTAATAGGTGTGGTACTGCAGGTGACTTTTTTGATGGAGTTAAATAGTGATTTGTGATCGTGGGCCACTGAGGAAGACTCCATCTCCTCAGCAACCCGTGACCACCACCCATTCTTGCAGTGCCTCACGGCTCTCCGAACCTCCGAGCGAAGGCTGTGGTAAGCCTCTTCATTCTCTGACGTGGGATGCTGTAGACGATTAGAGTGGGCCTGTCGCTTTTTCTCAACCATCCTGAACTCCTCTGTCAGCAGTGTGCCTGCTGACGTCACGCTCCCCCCCCCAAACCCTCCGCGTAGGCCGTGTGTTAACCCAAGCAAGAGTCCAAGTCTCAGGCGAAGCCGGGGAGTCAAGCGACTATTTGTATAATTGGCTAAGATGTGATTTTTGCTGTGTTTTGTGATACTATTATTCTCATTTCTTTCTTATTTTTTTTATTTTCTCTCTATTTTTACTTACGACTGACCTTCATATATGACCAAATACCCATCCCAAACGGCGTTAAAAACACAAAGAACAATTAAAAAAAACTTCTCCCTGGCTGGAGGTGAGTGAGGGGACCAAAAAAATGTATGCGGTTTTTCCAGATCGTGGGGGGCCCGCGCCCTTAACCCCCGAGATGTGGAAGGGTCGACCGTATACAGCGGTAGCAGGCAGTGTCAGGGTTTGGATGGAACCCACGACCTCCTGCGTACCAGCCAAGGTAGTCAACGTGTCACAGCCACTCACACGTCGCTCCGCTGTGTGTAGACGCGGTGCAGCAACGCCTCCGGTGCCATCCACTTCACCGGCAGGCGTCCCTGGAGGGGCGACAGGTGACGAGGGGAGGTCAACGACGCACAGCCTGACCCTTGACCCACCACCACCACCACCCTTTTATCCACCACCACCCTCTCCCCTACCTCCCTCTCTTTTCTTTTTTACGATCAGCGGAAACAAGAAGATGCTCGGTGTAGTCGGCACTTTGCTTCGTTCATCATTTCGTAATTTTTTCCAATGTTTTGCTTTATGTGCCCCCCCCCCTCTTCTTTTTTTCAAATGAAAGATTTCATGAAAGATTCTCTCTCTCCCCCCCCCCCCCTCCCCCGGGCATGACCACCGCCACCACCACCACCTCCTCCACCGCCACCACCGCCACCACCTCCACCACCGCCACCACCACCACCACCGCCTCCACCGCCGCCACCGCCGCCACCACCGCCACCACCGCCACTCACGGCAGCAGTCTTGTGCTGGTAGTAGTAGTCACGTTCGCCGCCCACGTCGCGGGTGAGGCCCAGATCGGCGATTTTCACCGAATAGCCGCCACCAACTCCGCCGTCAACGACGAGGACGTTCCTGGCCGCCAGGTCCCGGTGAACGCACTGTGACACCGACACACACGGTGCATGGGTAGGTGTGTGTGGGTAGGAGATGTGTGTGGGTAGGGGTGTGTGGGTAGGAGATGTGTGTGTAGGGGTGTGTGGGTAGGGGTGTGTGGGTAGGTGTGTGTGGGTAGGTGTGTGTGGGTAGGGGTGTGTGGGTAGGGGTGTGTGGGTAGGGGTGTGTGGGTAGGGGTGTGTGGGTGCCGGACGGGCAACTCTGTCGTGGACAGTGCTGTGAGGGGAGGGCCAATGCCGATTGGCCTCTCCCGTCATGGCGTCTGTGACCACCACAGTGGCTAAACGGGGGCTCTGGACTGGTGCAATGGGTTGGTAATCCCTCCACCTTCAATTAATTACCACTAAACCACGAATTAAATATGTAACTAATAAGTTTGTGGCACAGGCCATGGGGGGGTGGGGACAGTTGTCTATGACGTCTCCTGGCCAAACCCCAATTGTCGGAACCAGGAGATTGAATCTTCACCCTTGGGGCTCCTCCAGAAACAACGAAAAACCACTTCGTGTGGCGAGGTGGAATGTTCGAACACTCACTGCGGAGGAGAGGCTGCCACTCCTCTGTCGGGAGCTGGACCGGTACCGCCTGGATCGCTGTGGCATTCAGGAGGTCCGGTGGACCGGTCCTGGCTCCTGCCACCATGAGGGGTGGACAGTACTTTACTCGGGGCAGGAGACTGCCAAACAACAGGGTGTGGCTCTTCTTCTGAACAAAAGAATGAAGGGGGCGTGGGAGCGTGGCGGTGAGGTGTGGGAAGCTGTAAGCCCCAGGCTACTTTGGGCTCGCCTTCCCATCAACCGGAGACGAGGAGTGGTGGTCGTGGTTACTTATGCCCCCACCGAACACGAACATCCGTGGAGGGATGCAGGCAAAGCCGATGAGTCAAATGCCTTCTATGACCTCCTGTCACAAGTGCTGGCTAGATTGGCCACTCGGGATAGAGTCATCTTGTTGGGTGACTTCAATGCCTGAGTTGGTCATGATGCTGGCACCTGATCTGGAGTGATTAGAAGGCATGGGCCAGATCAGCTCAATAACAACGGTAGGAGGCTGCTAGATTTTTGTGCAGCCCATGGGCTTGTAATTACCAACACGCTCTTCCGGCATCGGCGCATCCACACAACATCATGGATGCATGACGGGTCCAAGCAAGAACATCTGCTGGTCTACATAGTGACGGACCAGCGGATGCGAGCCCATGTCCTTGACACCAGGACCTACCGTGGAGCTGATCTGCCCTCTGACCATCGACTAGTCATCTGTAAGATGCGCCTGCCATTCTTCCACTCCGGTGGTGGGTGTACACCCAGGACCCCCTTCCAACCTAAAGTGGCCTGGTCTCAGCTGATGAAAGTTGCAAGTGAGAATTTCATCATTGCTTGCAGATGGGGTTGGCATCGTCCCAACTCCTCCTGATGTCGAGGGTTAATGGGCGAGGTTTAGGACTGTGGCTCATGCAGCTGCAATGGGTGCTTTGGATACGCGGTCCAGACCTCTCCAGAGACCCTGGCTGACAGAGGAGGTATTCAGGATAGTTGAGAAAAAGCGACATGCCCACTCTAATCGTCGACAGCATCCCACGTCAGAGAATGAGGAGGCTTACCGCAGCCTTCGCTCGGAGGTCCGGAGAGCCGTGAGGCGCTGCAAGGATGGGTGATGGTCATGGGTTGCTGAGGAGACGGAGTCTGCCTGAGTGGCTCACGATCACAAATCACTATTTAACTCCATCAAAAAAGTAACCTGCAGCGCCACACCTATTTCCATCATTAGGGGAAAAAACGTTGATCCAATCTCCGACCCCCAGGAACAGGTTTGCAGATTTGCTGAGCATTTCTGTGAGGTCCTGGGGGAGGGGAATCCCTCAGCCAGGAAAACATCATGGCACAAAGTGGGGATAACCCTGCCGAGGCTGCGGTGCCTCAAATATTAGAGGAAGAAGTCACCCCCTGTGAGTGGCTGGCTGAGGTGCCATCTGTAGAGGAAGTACTGAAGGCGATCCGGAGTCTGAGACTAGGACAGGCACCGGGCAGAGATAATCTCCCAAGCGAAATGCTGAGGGAGGGTGGCGTTTGTGCACAGACTGCCCTACATGATATCATAACAAAAGTCTGGACCACTGGACGGGTTCCGGAGGATTGGAAGGATGCCCTGGTGGTCCCCCTCTTTAAGAACGGGGACCACACAAACTGTAACAACTACAGGGGCATCTCACTCCTCAGTGTGCCGGGAAAGGTCCAGGCAAGGATTATTCAACATCGCCTTGCTAGACACACTGAGGAGAGGCTTGCGAGCCCCAATTCGGTTTCAGGAAAGGGCGGTCCTGCACAGATGCCATATTTTCTGTCTGTCTGGTACAGCAGAGGTGTAGGGAATTCCAACAAGACCTACATCTCTGCTTTATTGACCTGGTCAAGGCCTATGATACCATCAGGAGGCCTGGGCTCTGGGTTGTTCTTCGTGCTTTCGGAGTCCCTGATCCACTGCTCACGATCATTAAGGACCTTCATGATGGTGAGTGGGCCCAGGTAAAACTACGTGGCCGGGAGTCGGAGACATTCGCTGTTTATTTTGGGGTGCGACAGGGATGTCCTCTGGCTCCCACATTATGTAACATCTATTTCGACCACGTAGTTCGTGAAAACTTCAGTAGCTGTACCGGAGGAATTTACATGTGGTACAGATACAATGGGAGGCTATTCGATGCCCGGGTGTGGTCAAGAGATGGCTCCCTATTGCTCAACCCCGTTATGTATGCCGATGATCTGGTAATTGCTGCTCACTCAGAAGAGGAGTTGGAGGCACTGCTGCTGGAACTGGAGCGTGCCACTAAGAGGTGGGGCCTTACCATCAGCCCCACCAAAACTAAGCACCTGCCTGGGTATTTTGTACCATCGGACACTGCACCCCCACAACTCCCAACTGGTGTTGGGGCAGTTGTGCAGAGAGTGGAGAGTTTCCCATACCTGGGCAGTGTGCTCATGACCGGCTCCGATTTGACAGCAGAGGTCTCACTCCGAATCAGTCGAGCGGCAATATCTTTTCATCGGTTGCATACCGCTGTGTGGAAGCTACCTGGTCTGTCGCTCCGCACGAAACTTCAGGTCTTCTCGGCCACAGCCATTCCCTCCTTTCTCTACGCTTGCGAAACGTGGACCCCCCTAATGGAGCATCTTCACCGGTTAGAAATATTTAGGCTGGCCTGCCTACGATCCATCCTGGGTTTAACTAGGCTGGATTGTGTGAGGAGCTCATATATCCTTGAAAGATCTGGACGAAGTCCCATCGGTGAGCTCCTCCGGTAGGCAAGGCTGTGTTGGCTGGGCCATGTAGCCCGCATGCCCAGCCACCGCATGCCTAAACAGCTTTTGTTCGGCCTGGATTGAGGGGGCTAAACGGGCGCAACACTGGGCTAGAGAAGAGATGGAGTGATGTGGTACAGGAGGACGTGGAGCTGAGTGGACTTGCCGATGACTGGTACCAGCGCTGTCAAGATCGGCCTCTGTTGAGGAGGCTCGTGAAGGACGCTACTGGGCAGTTGGATGCAGTCGCCCTCCAACAACAACGAAGGGCAGAGGAGCGACGCTCACAACAACGAGCGGAGCACCGGGTGGCTAAAGCGCAGCCAATTGGTACAGTAGGGGGCACAGGTAGTGCATCAGCCAGTCATCTCGGTCATCTCAGTCAGTCGACCCGTGGCACCTGGATCTGCCCCGTGACCTCCTCGACATTTCACGTGGCCTCAAGGTGCACATGGCCTGGCACAAGCGTCGTGGTGACGTCACCGCCACTTAGTGGCGAATGGCGGTTGTTGTTGTTGTTCTAGATTTGAAGCTTTCGTGACTGCAAGGATTCATACTCTTAAGTTTATTCAGTAAAGTCACGTAGGTAGAAAATGAAATTTAAATTAATAAAAATAAAATAATAAAAATCACGACGTTTCGGAGGCAACACAAGTCTCCGTCGTCTGGTGGGACCGTCACAGCCAGACTTGCTGTATCAAGTGAGGCAGGGATTCCAAGATGCAAGTTCTTAATTTGTATTTAAGATTTTTATTATTTTTTATTAATTTTAATTAAATTTTTTACCTACGTGACTTTACTGAAAAAACGAAGAGTATGTTGTTGTTGAGTGGGTAGATGTGCGTGCGTGCGGGTGTCGTCGCTGCACCTTCTTAGAGGTGAGGTACTCCATGCCGCGTGCCACCTGGCAGGCGAAGGCCACCAGCTGCAGCATGGAGAGCGTTTCGCCCTTCACCTCGTCGCCACCACCACCGCCACCACCGCCACCACCGCCACCACCGCCGCCGCCACCGCCACCACCGCCACCACCGCCGGCTCCGTAGCCGCCACGCACCGTGCACTCTGCGCCGGGCGTGCGGTGTGCACGCAGGAAGTCGCGCAGATTCCCCTTGGCCGCAAACTCAACGATCACGAGCAGGGGGCCTGGGGGAGTTGGGGGGGGAGGGGCACGATGAGATGTTAACTACCTCGCCTGGTCTACAGGAGGTCGCGAGTTCAATTCCAACTCTGACGATGCCTGCTGCTGTATATTTGGAGTCTGTGTGTCTCTCCCATCATCATCACGGTGGCTATGAGATGTTAACTACCTCGCCTGGTACGCAGGAGGTCGTGCGTTCGATCCAGATGGATTTTTATTTCCTCCGTGTCCTACGGTTTTTCCCCTTTTCACATTTGGAATCGACGTCGCTACTAATGTCCACCAGAAATCATCCGTGATGGCCAGGTGGCTTCCAGAAAAAGAGCAACGCAGCTCGAGGGGAAGGGGGGTCTTGCCTGACGACATACAAACTGGTGAGCAGCGGCGGGCAAGTCGCTCTCAACAGCAAACGTCACTGGGGCTGCCGCTGTCAAGCAAAGCGGCTTGAGCTGCCGTGAGTGGCGGCGGCGGCGGCCAGGGGTCGCTTCTGAAGAGGAGCCGCACAGGCAGCGGAGCGGAGGCCTCGCCTGCTGCTCGAGTTGTCTACAAGTTCGTGTTGGTTTCATTGGCTTCGAAATAGAGAGGGGGACGGGGGAGGTGCAATGATCACAATCCCGGTTCTTTAGAAGCCGAGTCACCAAGAAGACGACCCAACTCTCGGCTTTGCCAAAATCACTCGCGAAGCCAAATTAGTCCACAAGGTGAAGAGTTCATCGCCATGACGTGGGAGGGGGGCTGCTCACCCCCCCGCTCACCACCCCCCCACACTCACCACCCACACTCACCACCCACGCTCACCACCCCCCCCCCCACGCTCACCACCCACACTCACCACCCCCGCTCACCACCCCCCCGCACTCACCACCCACGCTCACCACCCACACTCACCACCCACACTCACCACCCGCCCGCTCACCACCCCCCCACACTCACCACCCCCCCACACTCACCACCCACACTCACCACCCCCCCCCCCCACGCTCACCACCCACACTCACCACCCACACTCACCAACCCCCCCCACCCACACCACCCACACTCACCCCCCCCCACACTCACCCCCCCCCCCCACGCTCACCACCCCCCCACACTCACCACCCACCCCCCCACACTCACCCCCCCCCACGCTCACCGCCCCGTGTGCATGCGCCCAGCAGGTTCACCAGGTGGCTGTGCCGTCCCATCTTCTTGAGGGTCTCCAGCTCCGCGTGGAGGTCGTGGGTCTCCGCTTCCGTGGCGTGCGCTGGGCTCGCATGCCGCACGTCCGGACCCAAATTAAAAACAAACTCTTCTAGCGGTAAAGTCACCACGTAGAATGCAAATAATAAAATAATGAAACATAATAAAATAATAAAACATAATTTAGTAATACAAATAAAACATAATAAAATGCAATTCTCACGACGTTTCGGCCACCTCAGGTGAAGAACAGGTCTGTCTTTCCGACAGACCTGTTCTTCACCTGAGGACGGCTGCTTGCGTTGTGGCCGAAACGTCGTGAGAATTGTATTTCATTGTTTTATTTTTATTCTTTCATTATTTCCCTTCTACGTGACTTTACCGAAAGAACCAAGAAGATGAATCCCTGCAGTCACGAAATCTTTACATCGAAATGTAAACTTGTAGCGATCGCCCCACAAACTCCTAGTTCTAGAACCCCGCGGGCGTCACCCTTCAGCATCTTGACGGCGACGCGGACGCTGCGATGAGGCCGTGACGGCTCCATGCCCAGCGCCTCGGCCAGCAGCACGCGGCCAAAACAACCCTCACCCAGCTGCTCACCCAGAGTCAGCCTGCACACACAGACACACACACAGACACACACAGACACACAGACACACACAGACACACAGACACAGATACACAGAAACACAGACACACACAGACACACACACACAGATACACAGACACAGACACGCGCACAGACACAGAGACACGCGCACAGACAGAGACACACAGACACAGAGACACGCGTGCAGACACAGAGACACGCACAGACACGCACAGACACAGAGACACAAACACAGACACACAGAGACACACAGACAGAGATGCGCGCAGACACAGACAGACACAGAGACATAAAGACACAAGCACAGACATAGAGACACACAGACAGAGACACACGCACACAGAGACATGCACAGACACAGAGACAGACACAGAGACAGACACACAGACACACACACAGACACAGAGACACGCACAGACACACACAAAACAAAGAACCCCCGTGTAGCCTTAACAGACTGTAGGGGCAAGTGCTGTTAGCGAGCACCTATGAAGGCCGGAACGGAACACAAGGGGGTGGGTGGCCAGCACCACGCCCGACCGCCTTTGTCTCCCCTGTGGCGATGTTTACACCGCACCAGGTACTCATTTAAGGCTGAGTCGACCTAGGGGAGGCCCAGGACCGGTTCAGATAATCGTCACTGGTGTTGGCCGTGAGCGGGAATCGAACTCTGGTCGCCGGGTTCGTAGCGCAGCGTAGCGCTAACCACTACGCCATCACTCCACACACAGACACACACACTTATACACAGACACACACATATAAACAGACACACAGACATATACACAGACACATAGATATATACACAGACACACATATATACACAGACACACACACATATACACAGACACACAAACATATACACAGACACACAGACATATACACACAACAACGACGACAACAACGATGATAACAACAACGATGATGACGACAACAACAACGATGATGACGACAACAACAACGATGATGACGACAACAACAACGACGACAACAACAACGATGATGACGAACCGTTCCCGAGGGAACTCCCAGCGGTCGCACGGCCCCGTCACCCCCGACAGCTCCACGCCGCTCAGCGCAGACAGCACCTGGGGCGGCACCACAACCACCACCACCATCATCACCACCACCACCACCTCCACCACCACAACCACCACCGCTACCACCGCCACCTCCACCACCACCCGCTACCACCACCGCTAACACCACCACCACCTTCACCACCTCCACCACCTCCACCACCTCCGCCACCACCTCCACTACCACCAGCATCTCCACCACCACCACCTCAACTGCACCTGCATCTCCCCCTCTCCGCTCGTCGACCCTCTCCTCCTCCGCGTGAGGCCGGTGACAGCACCGATGGTGATCAGCAGCAGGAGGGCGGCGGCGCAAGAACCGCCGCCCACTCTCACGGGAGCAGCCAGGGCGGTGTCCACTGTCACAGGGAGACAGGCGAGGTAGTCAACATCTCATAGCCACCGTGATGATGAGAGAGAGAGAGAGACACGCAGACTCCAAATATACAGCAGCAGCAGGCATCGTCAGGGTCGGGATCGAACCCACGACCTCCTGCAGACCAGGCGAGGTAGTTAACATCTCATAGCCACCGTGATGATGATGAGAGAGAGAGACGCAAACTCCAAATATACAGCAGCAGCAGGCATCGTCAGGATCGGGATCGAACCCACGACCTCCTGCAGAGCAGGCGAGGCAGTCGACATCTTACCAGCCGGCGTCTCTTGCGGCACGACGAGGAGCCATGCAGAGCGGTGAGCGAATCCCGCGGCGTTGCCCGCCAGGCAGGTGTAGCGGCCCGAGTCGTCCGTCACCTCCACGCCCACCGTCTTGAGGCGACACGGCGGGCGGCGCGGAGAGAGCGAGCGAATCAGCATCTTGTTTGTATACCCACGACGCAGGCTGCTGTGCGGGGTAGGGGTGATTTGGGTTGGAGCGTCGCATGTAAGCGTTGTGTCGTCGAACTCGCCACCACCCGACATGGCCAACGAGTAAGATTCAGTGTCACGTGAACAAGTTTCAACGTTATTTATTTATTTATTAGGTACCAGCAGTAAGTACCCGGCGAAGCGGTGGCTTCTGGGTCCTGTTGTTTAGAGGGTGACGTCAGCCTCCACTGAGTTTGGGTGGGTGAGTGGGTGGGTGAATGAGTGGGTGGGTGGGTGGGTTAGTGGGTAAGTGAATGAGTAGGTGAGTAGGTGGGTAGGTTGGTGACTGGGTGGGTGAGTTAGTAGGTGGGTGGGTGGGTGAATGAGTGGGTGAGTGGGTGAGTGGGTGGGTGGGTGACTGACTGGGTGGGTGAATGAGTGGGTGGGTGAATGAGTGGGTGGGTGGGTGAGTAGGTGGGTGGGTGACTGGGTGGGTGGGTGAGTGAGTGGGTGGGTGGGTGACTGGGTGGGTGGGTGAGTAGGTGGGTGGGTGGGTGACTGGGTGGGTGAGTGGGTGAATGAGTGGGTGAGTAGGTAGGTGGGTGGGTGGGTGGGTGAGTAGGTGAGTGGGTGGGTGAGTGGGTGGGTGGGTGAGTGAGTGGGAGAGTGAGTGGGTGACTGGGTGAGTTAGTGGGTGGGTGGGTGACTGGGTGGGTGGGTGACTGACTGGGTGGGTGAATGAGTGGGTGGGTGAGTAGGTGGGTGGGTGACTGGGTGGGTGGGTGGGTGACTGGGTGGGTGAGTAGGTAGGTTGGTGGGTGGGTGGGTGAATGGGTGGGTGGGTGAGTAGGTGGGTGGGTAGGTGAGTGGTGGGTGAGTGGGTGGGTGGGTGAGTGAGTGGGAGAGTGAGTGGGTGAGTGGGTGACTGGGTGGGTGGGTGAGTGGGTGAGTTAGTGGGTGGGTGGGTGACTGGGTGAATGAGTGGGTGAGTGGCTGAGTAGGTGGGTGGGTGAGTGGGTGGGTGGGTGAGTGGGTGGGTGACTGGGTGGGTGAATGAGTGGGTGGGTGGGTGACTGGGTGGGTGAATGAGTGGGTGAGTAGGTAGGTGGGTGGGTGACTGGGTGGGTGAGTAGGTGGGTGGGTAGGTGAGTGGGTGGGTGAGTGAGTTAGTGGGTGAGTGGGTGAGTTGGTGGGTGAGTAGGTGGGTGAGTGGGTGGGTGAGTGAGTGGGTGGGTGGGTGAGTGGGTGGGTGAGTGAGTGAGTGGGTGAGTGAGTGGGTGGGTGAGTGAGTGAGTGGGTGGGTGAGTGAGTGGGTGGGTGGGTGAGTGAGTGAGTGAGTGGGTGGGTGGGTGAGTGAGTGGGTGAGTGAGTGGGTGAGTGAGTGAGTGAGTGAGTGGGTGAGTTAGTGGGTGGGTGGGTGGGTGAGTGAGTGGGTGAGTTGGTGGGTGAGTTAGTGGGTGGGTGAGTGGGTGGGTGAGTGAGTGAGTGTGTGAGTGGGTGAGTGAGTGAGTTAGTGGGTGAGTGGGTGAGTGGGTGGGTGGGTGAGTTGGTGGGTGAGTAGGTGGGTGAGTGAGTGGGTGGGTGCCCCCGTGCCTCGCCCGCTCACCGTGAGGACGTGCACGTAGGGTGAGCCATTGGGTGCTTCGAGGCTGCCATTCACCTCTACGTGCTTGAGCCACTGCACGTGGTGGTGCAGCTGCTGCTGACTGCTGCCGCCAGCGCTCTGCAGGACGACGCAGCGGAGCTCCACGTCGCTCCCCTCCGCCGCCGTCACGTTCGCCGGGAGGCCGTCCTGCAGCGACGGCCGCTGGGGCTGGCCACGCTCTGCACGCCGGGAGGGGCGGGAGGGGGTGGGGGGAGGGGAGGGGGGAGGGGAGGGAGAGGGAGGGAGGAGAGGGAGGGAGGGGGGAGGGGAGGGGGGAGAGGAGAGGGATGGAGGAGAGGGGGGAGAGGAGAGGGAGGGGAGGAAACAAATTACGAAATGATGAACGAAGCAAAGTGTCGACTACACCGAGCATCTTCTTGTTTCCACTAATCGTAAAAAAAAGAGAAAAAAAGGGAAGGGGGGAGATGGAGGGGTGAGAGGAAGAGGGGAGAGGGAGGGGGGAGAGGGGGGAGATGAGAGGGAGGGAGGGGGAGAGGGAGGGGGGAGAGGGAGGGGGAGGAGAGGGAGGGAGGGGGAGGAGTGGGAAGGGGGAGAGTGGAGGGGGGGGGTCACCACCGATGACGACGAGCTGGTACGAGTGCTGGATGGAGCCGTGCTGGTTGCTGACCACACAGCTGTAGTTGCCCGCGTCAGAGGGCACCACGCTGTCCAGCACGAGCGTCCAGTCCTTGATCCTCAGCTTCAACAGCAGCAGCACAACAACAACAACATTATACACACACACACACATCGCCATTGTCTTACACACTGCTTGGTCCCCACCAAAGTGTCGGACCAGACAATGTCACTCCCAGGACCATGTCTAGCAGCTCGTGGCTGCTTCCTGGACGGCGTGACAAATATAACAAGAGGCCGTCCACCCTTTCACCCGGCCATCAAACAGTTTGTACTATGAGACATCTCATTTGCCAGTGGCAAAATAAAGTAATAGGTTTTTACCTATTCAACTGGTACAAAAACTGACACCTTTATACAAGGCATCATGTTTGCAATAATACACAACACAAGCAGTCAAAATGCAAACAAAAAGAAACAACTCTGATGATGATAATGATATGCACTGTCCTTGAAGTTGATTGGTCCACACCTGAGACAGCTTTTCTTAGAGCCCAGTCTCACCCTGGTGTTGGACCAGACGACGCCAAAAGTTTGTGTCAAGATGTGAAACCCATAATTATAGATTTGAAGCTTTCGTGACTGCAAGGATTCATATTCTTAGTTTTTTTCGGTAAAGTCACGTAGGTAAAAAAATTTTAATTAATAAAAGTAAAATAATAAAATAAAAATAACGACGTTTGGGAAGCTTGTGTTGCCTCCGAAACGTGATTTTTATTTAATTTTTATTTTACTTTTATTAATATAAATGTTTTACCTACACAGTGACTTTACCAAAAAAACCTAAGAATATGAATGTGAAGCCCAACCCGCTCACCTGGCCCCGCTCACCCAGCCCCGCTCACTGACCCCGCTCACCCAGCCCCGCTCACCCAGCCCGCTCACCCGGCCCCGCTCACCCTGCCCCGCTCACCCGGCCCCGCTCACCCGGCCCTGCTCACCCAGCCCGCTCACCCAGCCCGCTCACCCAGCCCCGCTCACCCTGCCCCGCTCACCCAGCCCCGCTCACCCAGCCCGCTCACCCAGCCCGCTCACCTAACCCGCTCGCCCGGCCCCGCTCACCCGGAAGGCCCCGAGGCGCCGCTCCTCCCCGCCGTGGAGGCGCCCTCCGTCGTGGAGCCAGACGACGGAGGGCGTGGGCACTCCGGTGGCGAGGCAGCGCAGCTTGACGCTGCTGCCGCTGGGCACCACCCACAGCGGCTTGGACAGCGAGCCGGACATGCGGCTCCAGCGAGGTGGGCCACCAGACCCCGTGGTCGTGCGCACTTGGGGGGCGGGGGGAGAGATACGTCACTCACCACTCACCCACCACTCGCCACTCACCACTCACTCACCACTCACTCACACCGCCACTCACCACTCACCACTCACACCGCCACTCACTACTCACTCACCACTCACTCACCACTCACTCACCACTCACACCGTCACTCACCACTCACACCGCCACTCACCACTCACACCGCCACTCACCACTCACACCGCCACTCACCACTCACACCGCCACTCACCACTCACCACTCACACCGCCACTCACTACTCACTCACCACTCACTCACCACTCACTCACCACTCACACCGTCACTCACCACTCACACCGCCACTCACCACTCACACCGCCACTCACCACTCACACCGCCACTCACCACTCACACCGCCACTCACCACTCACACCGCCACTCACCACTCACACCATCACTCACCACTCACACCGCCACTCACCACTCACACCGCCACTCACCACTCACTCACCACTCACACCGCCACTCACCACTCACTCACCACTCACACCGCCACTCACCACTCACACCGTCACTCATCCACTCACACCGCCACTCACCACTCACCACTCACACCGCCACTCGCCACTCACACCGCCACTCACCACTCACACCGTCACTCATCCACTCACACCGCCACTCGCCACTCACACCGTCACTCGCCACTCACACCGCCACTCACCACTCACACCGTCACTCACCACTCACACCGCCACTCACCACTCACACCGCCACTCACCACTCACACCGTCACTCACCACTCACACCGTCACTCATCCACTCACACCGCCACTCACCACTCACACCGCCACTCACCACTCACACCGCCACTCACCACTCACACCGCCACTCATCCACTCACACCGCCTCATCTCATCCACTCACACCGTCACTCGCCACTCACACCGCCACTCATCCACTCACACCGCCACTCGCCACTCACACCGCCACTCATCCACTCACACCGCCACTCACCACTCACACCGCCACTCACCACTCACACCGCCACTCACCACTCACACCGCCACTCATCCACTCACACCGCCACTCATCCACTCACACCGTCACTCGCCACTCACACCGCCACTCACCACTCACACCGCCACTCGCCACTCACACCGCCACTCATCCACTCACACCGCCACTCACCACTCACACCGTCACTCATCCACTCACACCGTCACTCGCCACTCACACCGCCACTCATCCACTCACACCGCCACTCATCCACTCACACCGTCACTCGCCACTCACACCGCCACTCACCACTCACACCATCACTCACCACTCACACCGCCACTCACCACTCACACCGCCACTCACCACTCACTCACCACTCACACCGCCACTCACCACTCACTCACCACTCACACCGCCACTCACCACTCACACCGTCACTCATCCACTCACACCGCCACTCACCACTCGCCACTCACACCGCCACTCGCCACTCACACCGCCACTCACCACTCACACCGCCACTCGCCACTCACACCGCCACTCACCACTCACACCGTCACTCATCCACTCACACCGTCACTCGCCACTCACACCGCCACTCATCCACTCACACCGCCACTCATCCACTCACACCGTCACTCGCCACTCACACCGCCACTCATCCACTCACACCGCCACTCACCACTCACACCGCCACTCACCACTCACACCGCCACTCGCCACTCACACCGCCACTCATCCACTCACACCGCCACTCACCACTCACACCGCCACTCACCACTCACACCGCCACTCGCCACTCACACCGTCACTCACCACTCACACCGCCACTCGCCACTCACACCGCCACTCGCCACTCACACCGCCACTCGCCACTCACACCGCCACTCACCACTCACACCGCCACTCACCACTCACACCGCCACTCACCACTCACACCGCCACTCACCACTCACACCGCCACTCACCACTCACACCGCCACTCATCCACTCACACCGTCACTCGCCACTCACACCGCCACTCACCACTCACACCATCACTCACCACTCACACCGCCACTCACCACTCACACCGCCACTCACCACTCACTCACCACTCACACCGCCACTCACCACTCACTCACCACTCACACCGCCACTCACCACTCACACCGTCACTCATCCACTCACACCGCCACTCACCACTCACCACTCACACCGCCACTCGCCACTCACACCGCCACTCACCACTCACACCGCCACTCGCCACTCACACCGCCACTCATCCACTCACACCGCCACTCACCACTCACACCGTCACTCGCCACTCACACCGCCACTCTCCACTCACACCGCCACTCACCACTCACACCGTCACTCGCCACTCACACCGCCACTCACCACTCACACCGTCACTCGCCACTCACACCGCCACTCGCCACTCACACCGCCACTCACCACTCACACCGCCACTCACCACTCACACCGCCACTCACCACTCACACCGCCACTCGCCACTCACACCGTCACTCGCCACTCACACCGCCACTCACCACTCACACCGTCACTCATCCACTCACACCGCGACTCGCCACTCACACCGCCACTCACCACTCACACCGCCACTCACCACTCACACCGCCACTCACCACTCACACCGCCACTCACCACTCACACCGCCACTCGCCACTCACACCGTCACTCATCCACTCACACCGCCACTCGCCACTCACACCGCCACTCACCACTCACACCGCCACTCACCACTCACACCGTCACTCGCCACTCACACCGCCACTCACCACTCACACCGTCACTCACCACTCACACCGCCACTCACCACTCACACCGCCACTCACACACATGAACACACACACGTACACACACACGTACACTCACACACACACACGTACACACACGTGAACACACACACGTACACTCACACACACGTGAACACACACACACGTGAACACACTCACGTACACTCACACACGTACACACACACGTACACACACACGTACACTCACACATGCGCACACGCACACACACGTACACACAAAATCACACGTACACTCACGTGAACACACACACACGTAAACACACGTACATTCACACACGTACACACACGCACACTCACGTACACTCACGCACGTACACTCACACACACGTGCACACACACGTACACACACACGTGAACACACATGAACACACACGTACACTCACACACACGTGCACACACACACGTATACACACACGTGAACACACACGTGAACACACACGTACACTCACAACAACAACAACAACAACCGCCATTCGCCACTAAGTGGCGGTGACGTCACCACGACGCTTGTGCCAGGCCAAGTGCACCTTGAGGCCACGTGAAGTGTCGAACGCCCGCTGGCAGGAGGTCACGGCTGACCGAGATGACCGAGATGACTGGCTGATGCACCACCTGTGCCCCCTACTGTACCAACTTGCTGTGCTTTAGCCACCCGGCGCTCCGCTCGTTGTTGTGAGCGTCGCTCCTCCGCCCTCCGTTGTTGTTGGAGGGCAACTGCCTCCAACTGCCCAGTAGCGTCCTTCACGAGCCTCCTCCACTGAGGCCGATCTTGACACCGCTGGTACCAGTCATCGGCAAGTCCACTCAGCTCCACGTCCTCCTGTACCACATCACTCCATCTCTTCTCTAGCCCGTGCCGCGCCCGTTTAGCCCCCTCGATCCGGCCGAACAAAAGCTGTTTAGGCATGCGGTGGCTGGGCATGCGGGCTACATGACCCAGCCAACGCAGCCTTGCCTGCCGGAGGAGCTCACTGATGGGACTTTGCCCAGATCTTTCAAGGACTTGTGAGCTCCTCACACAATCCAGCCTGGTTAAACCCATGATGGATCGTAGGCAGGCCAGCCTAAATGTTTCCAACCGGCGAAGATGCTCCATTATGGGGGTCCACGTTTCGCAAGCGTAGAGAAGGGAGGGAATGACCGTGGCCGAGAAGACCTGAAGCTTCGTGCGGAGTGACAGACCAGGTAGCTTCCACACAGCGTTACGCAACCGATGAAAAGATATTGCCGCTCGACTGATTCGGAGTGAGACCTCTGCTGATAAACTGGAGCCGGTCATAAGCACACTGCCCAGGTATGGGAAACTCTCCACTCTCTCCACAACTGCCCCATCACCGATTGGGAGTTGTGGGGGTGGAGTGTCCGATGGTACAAAATACCCAGGCAGGTGCTTAGTTTTGGTGGGGCTGATGGTAAGGCCCCACCTCTTAGTGGCACGCTCCAGTCTCAGCAGCAGCGTCTCCAACTCCTCTTCTGAATGAGCAGCTATTACCAAATCATCGGCATACATAACGTGGTTGACCAATAGGGAGCCATCCCTTGATCGCACCCGGGCGTCGATCAGCCTCCCATTATATCTGTACCAAATGGAAATTCCCCCGGTACAGCTATTGCAGGCTTCACGAACTACGCAGTCTAAATAGATGTTAAATAATGTGGGAGCCAGAGGACATCCCTGTCGCACCCCAAGGTGTACAGGGAAAGGCTCCGACTCCCGGCCACGTAGTTTTACCCGGGCCCGCTCACCATCATGAAGGTCCTTAATGATCGTGAGCAGAGGGTCAGGGACTCCGAAAGCACGAAGAACAACCCAGAGCCCAGTCCTACTGATGGTATCATAGGCCTTGACCAGGTCAATAAAGCAGAGATGTAGGTCGTTTTGGAATTCCCTACATCTCTGCTGTAGCAGACGGACAGAAAAATATGGCATCTGTGCAGGACCGCCCTTTCCTGAAACCGCATTGGGGCTCCGTAAGCCTCTCCTCAGCATGCCTAGCAAGGCAATGTGAACACACACACACACACTTGAACACACACACTTGAACACACACACACTTGAACACACACACGTACACACACGTGAACACACACACTCACGTACACACACACACGTGAACACACATGTACATACACACGTGAACACACACACACACGTGAACACA